AGTGGGGTGCCATTAAGAGAAACCACATTACTATTTGCCTGATTTATTCTCATTATCTTTGTCTTTCCTTTATGGATTTTCAGACCAAGCTGTTGTGATCTCGCATCAAGTATATTTAATTTATCTTGCATCTGATTCCGTGAATGAGACAGAAGAGCAATATCATCAGCGAAGTCCAGATCATCAAGTTGTTTTGTAGGGGTCCATTGAATTCCATTCTTGGTGTTAGCAGTTACTGTTTTCATAGTCCAGTCTACAGCCAGTAGAAATAAGAGAGGCGACAAAAGACATCCCTGTCGCACACCTATTTTTATTTCAAATGTATCTGTTAGCTTTTCCTCATGAAGAACTCGACATTTCATGTCTTTATATGTTGCCTTCACTAAGTTGATAATTTTCTGTCGGATCAATTCCCATTTTCCCTATCAATGCTGTCAAATGCTTTTTCATAGTCTATAAATCCAATGTAAAGTTGTGAGTTCAGTTCAATGCTTTGCTCTATTATAATACGTAATGTGGCTATCTGGTCAGTACAGGATCTGTTTGACAGAAAACCTGCCTGCTCATCTCTTAGCTTTTTATCAATAGCATCTTTTAATCTTTCCCAAATAATTCTACTTAATATTTTTCCAGGAACTGACAGCAACATAATTCCTCTATAGTTTTCACACTCCGGTAGATCACCTTTTTTGGGCAGTTTCACAAGATATCTTTCTCTCCAGTCTGCTGGTAATTCTTCGGTCTCCCAGACTTTACTAAATAATCTATGTAGCAATTCTGCTTGATGTGTTTATGTTGGCCCTAATGGCTTCAGCTGGGATACCATCTGGGCCTGCCGCCTTTCCTTCCTTGCGAAGATTGATGGCTTTTCTAATTTCCTCTTTGGATGGTATCTCACAGTTGATATCCAGTTCCATTTCTAAAGGCTGGATATCTGGGGGAACCTCTGGGCCTGGTCTATTTAGAAGCATTTCAAAATATTTCAACTATCTGTCCATTTGCGCTTCGGTGTTAGTAAGTACTTTTCCTTGACCATTTTTGATTGATCCAGTTGGCTGACTATATTTACCTACTAATTTTCTTGTGTTACTGTAAAGTTCTCTGAGGTTTCCTTTTACTGCTGCTGTTTCCGCTTCTTGTGATAGATCATTTAGATATTTCACTTTATCTGCCCTTATATGCCTCCTAACTTCCTTATTGACTTCTGTGTATTTCTCCCGAGCTCTAGATTTAGCAGCTCTAGTTTTGCTATTGTTTAAGTCTGCCTTTTTACTTTTCCTATCTTCAATCAGTTTAATGGTTTCTGGTGTTATCCACGCTTTATGTTTCCTTTCTTTCTTGCCAAGAACTTCTACGCAGGATTCATTCCAGATTACGTTGATCTGATCTCAGCAGACTTCTGTGTTGACATCTTCAGCTAACTGCTGCAACACCTGGTACTTGTTAGAGACTGTAACTGAGAACTGTTCCTTAATTTCTTTATCTCTGAGAAAGCCTACATTATATTGGTTTCTATGATTATAAGATGTTACATATATTTTTAGTTTTAACTTGATTTTACTAACCACCAGGAAATGGTCAGTAAATACATCGGCACCTCTGAAAGCCCTAACATCGTAAAGGGATGATCTAAATTTTTTGTTAATACATAGGTGGTCAGTTGGATTAGTTGTCTTATGGTCTGGTGATTCCCATGTTGCCTTGTGTATTCTTTTATGGGGAAAAATACTTCCACCAATAACATACTGGTTACCTGCACACAAATTTGTGAACAATTCTCCATTTTCATTCATTACTCCTAGACCATGTCTTCCGATAATTTCTTCATAACCTGTGTTATCTGATCCTATCTTAGCATTCAAGTCACCCATCAAAATTTTTTAATTGCCCTTTCTTTCATTATTTATAATATTTTGTAGCTGCATGTAAAATTCTTCCTTAACAGATGCATCTTTATCATTTGTTGGTGCATAACACTGTATTACCGACATGTTCACCTTCTGTTTTACTGTTCTAAAAGATGCTCTTATTATTCTGGGACTTACGGCTTCCCATTCTATTAGTGCCCTGTCTGCTTCTTTCGATAGAATCAGGGCGGCCCCTTCTCTGTGGGGCGAATTTTCCTCTGTGTGTCCTGGGAACAAAATAGTTTCCTCTGAATTTAGAATACTTTTCCCCACCCCAGTCTATTTAGTTTCACACAACCCTAAAAGACTAATTCTATAATTTTTCATTTCCTTAGCTACTTCCATTGTTCTCTCTATATGATAGAGAGTTATAACATTCCAGGTGCCAATTCTGGAGGTTTTCCTAGCTGAGAGGACTCCTTACGGCTTTCTCCACACCGTGTCATACTTCTTCTACTTAAAGAGCCTCCCCTCATCTTGGCTGGCTGGATTTTACTTGCTTCTTTTTTTTACTTATCCATGGTTGGTTGGTTTTTGTGGCTATGATTTTTACAGGATGAGGTAGCCAACCTCAAGCCCAACCCTACCCTTAGTCGCCTCTTACGACATGCCTGGTAGGGTGCAGTTCACTATTCTTTGCTTCCCGTGAGGGTCCCGGTGACGCAAGGGCGAATCTGAGAATTTCGTCATCACTTAATTTCTTGGTCTTGTTTTTTTTCTTCTTCTTCTTCTTCTTCTTCTTCTTCTTCTTCTTCTTCTTCTTCTTCTTCTTCTTCTTCTTCTTCTTCTTCTTCTTCTTCTTCTTCTTCTTTTTCTTCTTCTTCTGCTTCTTCTTCTTCTTCTTCTTCTTCTTCTTCTTCTTCTTCTTCTTCTTCTTCTTCTTCTTCTTCTTCTTCTTCTTCTTCTTCTTCTTCTTCTTCTTCTTCTTCTTCCTCCCCCCTCTCCTCTTCTTCTTCTTCTTCTTCTTCTTCTTCTTATTATTATTATTATTATTATTATTATTATTATTATTATTCTACTCCTCCTCCTCCTTGTCCTTGTCCGTCTCTTTTATCATTATCTTCTTCTCACAATTATTAAGCTTTTCATACATTGGAAATCACATGTGACACAGACATTCTACCACGTTATGATATCAGATTGTCCAGTATCTTTTCTCTGCATCATCTTTTGCCTCTTTTTCTCCAGTTTTCTCGTTGTCACAATGTTCTCCAGTTTTCTCGTTGTCACAATGTACTCCAGTTTTCTCGTTGTCACAATGTACTCCAGTTTTCTCGTTGTCACAATGTACTCCAGTTTTCTCGTTGTCACTATGTACTCCAGTTTTCTCGTTGTCACCATGTACTCCAGTTTTCTCGTTGTCACAATGTACTCAAGTTTTCTCGTTGTCACAATGTACTCAAGTTTTCTCGTTGTCACCATGTACTCAAGTTTTCTCATTGTCACCATGTACTCCAGTTTTCTCGTTGTCACAATGTACTCCAGTTTTCTCGCTGTGCATTTAAAAAAAAAAAAAAGCAACGCGCCCTGTTTTGATCCGTTTATCAGTTCTGCACACTAATTGAATATAGCATAGCCCTCAAAACTCTCACGCAAAGCTGTCCTGTCTTTGCTATAGCTTGTAACCAATGTCTCCCTCATCTAATTTGACTTTCTTCCCAGGCGCCCCTCCCTTGGCGATTTTGCTCCGCAATTATTGCTAGGCCCCTGTGGATATCAATGACTAATCATCTCATCTTATCTTGATTCTCTCCTACCATGCGGTGTCGAAGGTGAGTTGAGCTGAGTTTATTTCAGAACCGACATCACAGCAGTCAGAGTTTTCCCATACGCGCTTCGTATCCCTCTTTAGCAGCCAGCGCAGAGTTCAAATACCAATAATGCCCGTATCATTCTGATTGTACCTCCGTCTTGCTTTTTCTCTGGGCGTCGAGTATCAACCAAATCCTCTCCTTACTGCCCGCTGCATCAATGTCATCAGACTGTGGTGATCTATTTGCTCCTCCGAATTGTACGCATGCTTCTATAAGGCTTTAATCACGTCTGCCTTATCATGCAACAATAATTCACCAAGTTGTGCAAAGCCAGCCTATCTGTCCGCCTGATCCTTTCCAAACACACCGGAATGACCCTGAGAGAAAATGCAGACAATGATCCTCACCCGTGACCTCCAAAGCGAAGCATGCCACTCTGTACCAAGCACACCTGCCCTAACCTTCCTCTGTCGTAGGTGAGGCGTATTTT